TTCGTAACTGGCAATTCAGGAATAATTCTCTCTCTCCCCCTCTTTTTTTTTTTTTTTTTTTCTTTTTTCTTTGAACAAGCCTATTTCATAAAGCGCCCCCACACATACCCCTCGTTTTTAAGATACTTTTTCCACACTCGGTCATTTATGGATGGCGATTGTCAAATTAATAACGGTCTTCTAGACAACCATCTGCTCCCTATATATATATATATATTTCCTTCTTGAACTTGATTAGGAGAATATCTTGACACATAGGATGGCGCTTCCTGATTTTATAAAAACTCACATCACAGAGATACAGAAGGATATAGCCATGACGAATGTTTTTCTCATCAGACGCGGTAATATCGACACTGAGACAGCCCAATGGACTGCCTCGATCTTTTCTAAAATATGCCAGAGACATACGGAAATTCTTGACTGGTGCAAGGAATTTACTGATCTACATAAAGAATCCTTGAATGAGCTCGATCGCTCTGCCACCAGCAACAGTCAACTCAGGCGGGCAAATTGGGCACTCAGCGGTGCGATCAACTCCCTCAGAGAGGATCTATGGCAGTTAGAATCTACCCTCCGGAGACACACCCACTCCAACGGAAGCCAGCTCCCATCGATCTTTTGAAAATTCATATGGGCATTCATTGGTCTGAGTATAACGCTATCTATCATTCTGATATTACCATCCCTGTGACCTTCCTATGATACATGCTCCTCCTCCCACGTATCAGCCCCCAACAAATCTGGTGTGCCCACATTTCCGTCTTCTGAGAATGAGGATGTAATTTTTTTGAAATGGAACCCTTTTTGATATATATATTTTTTTCCTTCGAAACATACCCTTGTTCTTTCTCTCATAGAAAGCGCGCCAGAAACTGCGGTACCCCAAGGGATGACGAAAAACCTTGTCCCCCTCAAAACGGTGGTATAAGAAGTAAGACCTGATGTTGGTATCGGATTATGGGTTGGACTGTCGTACCGTGGCTTGCCATGGAGTTTTTAGCACTAACGTGCTATGCGTATCTTACCACACATACACACACACACACACACACACACACAATCAATCAATCAATCAATCAAATCAAAGAAATCAATCAATCAACCAAACCAATCAAGATTGGTTGGATTGATTTGTTTGGTTGATTGATTGATTTAATTGATTTGATTGATTGATTGATTGATTGATTGATTGATTGACTCTCTCTCTCTCTCTCTCTCTCTCTCTCTCTCTCTCTCTCTCTCTCTCTCTC